CTGGTGTGGATGTCGAGACGCGCAAAAGGCCCCTACCTAGCGTGCCAACTATCGGTGTTTCGAGTTACCACTGACGAGTAAATTTCTAGTATTGCACATCTGGCTCGGATGGTGTGCTTTAGAGGACACGAGGTTTATACTAGTTTGGACATAAAGTCCCTACGTCCAGTTCATCGTTGTTGCTCATGTTACTTGCACTGAAAGTTTGTAGTAGGGGTTACAAACGGGCAAGAGAGGGAAATGATCCCAAGTCTCTGGTGGAAGGAGTGAACGAGTGCTGAGAGCTCGATCACTGCTCAGCTGTGTGTTCGTGTTGTGCTCTTGTGCGCATCTAGATTCAATCGGGTCTTGATGGGTCGATCCCCTTCATGTGGCGCCCTGCTTTCCCTTTTATAGGCCAAGGGAAAGCGTGGGTTACAGCGAAGGAAAAGGAGAAGAACGAGAGAGAGGAAGGCTGCCAGGACCGCCGGGTCCTTCTTCTCCTTCATGTGGGTCCCACCGATCCTATAGACATCAACAGGGACGGCTCCACGTTGCAGCCCTGTTTGTCATTGACGCCATGTGCAGGCGTCGTTTGCCGGTCATAGCGTCCCATTCTGTCCTGGCGGGCGTCGTGGTGAACTGACGCTCCTGTCAGCGTTCGTACGAGGGTTAGGCAGAACAACACCGGCATGCCCGACGCTGTTCTTGATGTCAATCCTCAGGTATGGCCCGTCATGGCCACGGGTTACATCGGGGCGTGTCGGTCTCTTTCTTGGTGTCAGAGTTTTGACCTAGGCCCATACGCTTGGACCTGGAGTGGTTGGCGGCGATATAGGTCCCCGTCGGGCGAGACAGAGCCCGCACCCAAGGGGTCGAGCGAGGCAGAGCCCGCGGCCTCAGGGTCGGGCGAGGAAGAGCCCACGCACCTGGGGGTTGGTTGGAGCTGTAGTCGCGCTCTTGACTGCTCGGATGAATCAATGTTGACGGCCATTAGCTCCTCCTCTTCGGGTACCCTAGTATTTGTCCCCGACACGCATGGGTGGAAAAGAAGCTTGTTTTTAGTTGCTCAAGTATATTCATCTAAACCCAAGCATAGTCTTTGTGATTAGTATTTATGGCTCATTTAGGCTTCGGCGTTATCACAATAACCCCTGTAAGCTACAGTAGAGCAAGGCTAATAATACAGCCGGTTTGCTAGCCAACACACTCATATAGTAGTTAGCTCTTCACTATTAATGCATGGCTCACTTTGTCTCTCTCACAGAGTTTCTTAGTTGTTGTGCCCAAACCGACTGTAAGCTTACAGACCGTTTCTCCTCTCTCTCTTCTCCTCTCCCCTCCACCTCAGCATTTAGTCAGTTTACAGCCTCTTATTATACTTGCTCTTAGTGAAGCTATGCTAGGAGCTACATCGACTCCTAGTGTATTCTTTAGAGAGAAATTGAGTTTCTTTTAACAGTAATACTGAAGTAGCTAGTGCTGGGAGAGCTAGAGCCACAAGAACGCATATGAGCAAATTGAGGATGGTTCAGTTGGTCAGGTTTCTTGTGATGGAACCTACTCACTCCGGTTCAAGTCATCAACTTGACATTTGTATTTTTCTCGATTTATTCTAGAATTTAACTGTGTCACAGGTGACATGCCCGTCAACAACGAGGTACATGTGGCTTAGTCATTCGGAGGTGCTCGCAAGGGTATGATGAGTGTATGCGCATACATGACACGCGACGTGCCCGTCAACAACAAGGTGCATGTGGTTTTTCATCCGAAGATGCTCGTAAGGGTATGTTGAATGTATGCGGAGGTGCTCATAAGGGTACAGTGAGTGTATGCACATGTATGCAAGATCTGGTGCATGTGGCTCAATCGTCCGGAGGTGCTCATAAGGATATGGTGAGTATATGCATATGTATGCAAGATTTACCGGCTCAGTCTTTTCAAAGGTACTTATGGTAGGGAGTAGGATGTGTGTGTGTTTTGTGTGTACTATGTAATTTACGGAAAAAAGAAGCCATATGAAACAGACCTTTGCTTCTTTCTAGCAAAAGTTACCACCTTTTTTCATTTTCTATTATTAACAAAAAAAAGTTCCATATCCTTCTAAGTTATAATTGTCGATGTGCCTTAATCATTTTTTATAATTTAAAGAAATCTTTTTCCTTGTGTGGGAAAGGCAAAAAAATGTTAATATGAGAAACTGGCACATAAAGCACTATATGAAAAAGACGCACAACAATTTCGCATCATTTGTTCCCATCTCCTCCTTTTCGCCTTCTTCATCCCAGTTTTGCCCACTCTTAAATCCAATTTTATGAGCCAACCCACATAAAAAGGGATGACGAACGAATTATCAAGAAAATTGAAATTTCTGTAGCCCTTGAAGTTCTTCTTTGCCTCTTGCTTGGTTCCTTTGCGGTCACATTTTTTTTTTTGATGAAAAATTACGGTCACAGTTTAATATGCCCAAAGGAGGACGAGCAAGTAAATTTTTCAATGGAGTTTTTTTGTGTGCTTAGTCTAAGACCCGCCAATCTGAAGTGGATAGTTGGTACTCCTAATGGATCTTAAACCTTGATAACTCAAGTGAGATTAACTTTAGTAGCTACTCCAACATGGATTAAGGGTAGTGGCAACTACATGACACCACGAAAAAATTGGGTTGTCTCTTGTCCAACCCTTTCATTTCTTGCATTTACTTTCGTTGCCATCTTGGAGCTAGTGTGCTTGAAATGTTTAGTGGCTTTTAGACTTCATGTGGTATACTATCTAGGTTACATTTCCGCTAATCCTAAGGATCTTTTTTCCCAGTGTGTATGCTAGGGACATAGCTTAGTTTGATGGTCTTAAGGACTCATCTTAGTTTATCTTTTGCTTAGTGTTAGGGCTAATTCTTGGTTTCTTGTTAGGGGTTGAACTATTTCTAAGTGAAATACTCGTAATAAAGAAAAAAATAGGAATCATTAGACTAAAATAAAGTCAGATGTCTGCATTGCAACACTAAAGGTGTGTTTAGTTTATGACTTATCTTGGGTGGCCACGCTACATAATGTCGATCAAATCCTTAAGCGATGGAAATCGAATGAATGTGCTAGGGCTATACAAAATGTTTGGACTCAACAAGCTACTCTAGCTCAACTCGTGGAAAGATTGATCCAAGCTCAAGTTTGGTTTGGAGCCAAGCTTGAGCAGTTGAGCCTGACCATAGGCTCGTGAATCTCGACTAGCCAAGCTCAAATATCTTGATTAAGGTTCATGAGCTATCCCTTGCCTCTTTTATTTCTCATATTTTCTTTAATTTTCATTATAGATACTTTGCTATTGTGATACAATTATTTTGTAACCTTCAAGGATCGTCCTGTAATAGGTGCTCTGAACCCTTCGTTCCCGGCCTCGCCGATATCAGTGGAAAATTATTCAGGTAGGGCTCTCACCCCTCCGGTGATGTCTTAAAAAACATTAACTAGTATAATTGGTACATATGAAAGATTCTATTTATATTACTTTATGTCAATTATTTTGTAAAATTTTCTTTTACCTCATTATCTTTTACTTCCCAAACAATGATGTTTATCTATAAACGAACCTTGTTGAGTCGAGCTTGAGCGTACTCCAGTCTTAGAGCGAGCCAAGCTCGGCTTGAATTCTCTATCAAGCTCGATTTTGAAGTGCTAAGTTTACTCGAGCATGGCTCATTTGCAGCACTAGCTATTGTTGCATGCACATTTCTTAGAATAAGAACTAAACATCCTCTCTAAGATCCAATGTTTAACTATTATTTATTATTATTATTAATTATTACTACTACTATATAAAGATTTGATTTGATAGGACAGCTTGCTTATTTAGTTAAAAAACAGCTTGCTTAAAATGTTGTTAGAATAGACAAGTCTGCCCGGTATGTCTACCTGTATGCTACGATCTGCCTTTTCCTCTAAGGCCCCGTTCATTTTCCAAGGAATCACCCAGGAACCATTCCCGACTGGAATCGCTAGTCAATTTGTATAAGTTTTTGTTAGCTGGAATGATTTCGGGTGTCATTTTACTGAAAACGAACAAGCCCTAAAGGAGTAGCTTTAGCAGTGGAGTCGTTTTTTTTTTGTTTGTAAAACGTTCGATAAAAACAGCTTCTCCTATCAGATAAGAAGGCTAAAATATCTATAATATTCTTTTTTTCTTTTCTTTTTTCTTCTTTTATTTACTTATTTTGTTCTTCCCTTGGCCCATCGCTCTGGGGAGACCGGGGAGACCGCGGCGCACCACGAACTCTTCTTTCTTCTCCGCCGCCCCACCGCTACCGCTTGGACTACCACCACCGCCCCACACCTCCCGTCGCGACGCCGAGCGACGGCGCGCATCCGCCTCCTCCGCTCCGCCCCTCCCGCCCTGCCGCCTCGCCTCTCATCGCCGCCCCGCCTCCCTCCGTCGTTCCTGGCCGCCGGGCTTCTTCTCCGTCGCTGGCTACGCGCGTGAGGAGAGAGGAGGAGCCGCAGCGCGTAGATCCAGGGGGCAGCGGCGTCCATCCCGCGTGAGAAGGGAGAAGGAGCCGGTGAGATCTACTTTTTTCAGCTCCTCCATCTCTCGCAGCTCTCTCTCAGCGCGTTTTGCGGAGATTCGTCGGTAGCGACGGCGGGGCAGTCCCAGGCTCGGCGGCGGCGTCAGCGGCTCCCCCTCCCGCCTCTCGCCAGTCGCCTCGCGCCCGCCCTCGCCAAGGCTGGAGCCAGCAGCCGCTGCTCCACCAAGGCGGTCGCGCCGCTTTGGGAGCGCTTATGCCCCAAAGCGAAGCGTTACCTGACCGCTTAGCGCTGAAGCGCGCTGAAGTGTGCGCTTAGTACCGCTTTTTGGAACCCTGATTTTATCCTGTTTTAGCTCACTTCATTAATTTTATCCTGTTTTATCTCACTTCATTAATTTTATCCTGTTTTAGAGATTGTGAGGGGGCAGAGAAGATGGCATTTCTTGCTTGAGGATGGGCAACCTGCAGCAGCTCTATCTCTATTATTAGGATTGGATCCTGGGAGATGGCCGAGGGGGCGAGGTTTCATGGTATGATAGGCGGAGGTGGTGGCAAGGGGATGCAGGACAATGAGATCAATGGCTTCTACAACATGCTGTATTACCAAAAGTTTGGGGAGGGCTCTCACATGTCTGTAGACAGCACCGATGGCTTCAACCTGACCAATTGTGCTGGTGGTTCTGTGGCCATGTCAGTGGACAACAGCAGCGTGGGCTCCAACGAGTCCCGCACGGTCATACTGAAGCACCCAGGCCTCCGTGATGCTCCGACTGCAAGCTATTCAGTCGGCAATAGTGTCTTCCGACCAAACCGTGTGGCTGCACACATGCTAAATGAGGATGCATTGGCCCGGGTTTTGATGGACCCAAATCATCCTACAGAGATACTCAACAGCTACGAGCAGTGGACCATTGATCTGGGGAGGTTGGACATGGGGGATCCTTTTGCTCAAGGAGCCTTTGGGAAGCTGTACCGGGGAACATATAATGGAGAAGATGTTGCCATTAAGCTGCTGGAGAAGCCTGAGAATGATCCAGAAAGAGCCCATTTGATGGAGCAGCAATTTGTGCAAGAGGTTATGATGTTGTCTAGGCTGAGTCACCCAAATATTGTAAGGTTCATAGGGGCATGCAGGAAATCAATCGTGTGGTGTATTATTACGGAGTATGCAAAAGGCGGCTCAGTCAGGCAATTCCTGGCGAGAAGGCAGAACAAGTCAGTGCCTTTACGGTTGGCTGTGAAACAGGCGTTGGATGTAGCCCGGGGAATGGCATATGTTCATGCATTGGGATTTATTCACAGAGATCTGAAGTCAGATAACCTTCTGATTTCAGCAGACAAATCCATTAAGATTGCTGACTTTGGAGTTGCTCGTATCGAAGTGAAAACTGAAGGGATGACACCAGAGACAGGAACCTACCGCTGGATGGCACCGTAAGTTATAGTTTCCCCTTACTGAAGATTGCTCTATGCAGAAATTTCTTTGTATCTCTGCATCTGTAATGCCTGGCATTTAATTTATTTTGAAACACAATTTGCATAGCTCACAAGTTCTCAGGCCTTCACTCAAACAGTACTCCCTCCGTCCCATTCTAACTGTCGTTTTCGTTTCCCGAGAAACAACTTTGACTAAAATATATAAAAAATATTAATATTTATGGTAGTACATAATTTATGGTAGTACATAATATCATTAGATAGATCGTTGAATCTATTTCCATAATAAATTTATTTAGAGATACAAATGTTGCTAATATTTTCTACAAATCTAATCAAACTTATTGGCATGCAAACCGTGGAGACAGATATTTAGGGACGGAGGGAGTACTGTAGGTCAGTATTATGTTAAATAGCTGCAAAGTTTCTGAAGTGCAGGTATTCAAAATTTTCAGACACTTTGGTAGTCTTACTGATTGTACATCCAACTTCACATACATAATTACTGGAAAACTCAAGTACTCAACTGTACATGCTGCATAGCTGTCTTTTGGATTACTTAACTGTATTATTGAGTGTTCCATTATGCATCGCTGTCCAGGTTTTCATTATATTAGCAATATATATTGTTGCATATTCAATAAGATCATGTTAATGGGAGTGAGTTGCATGCTTATGCACAACACAGTGGATAGACTAACTCTAAAGTTATTAATATGGTGGAACTACTGGACTATCGTGTCCAGTTCCAATTTTTTACTAAACTATTGCTGAGGTTGCACACTTACACTTATTTTGTCCACAGTGGGGAAGGGTGAGTGGCGACTATACCAATTATAACAAAAATAACTGAAAAGATGTTTCTTTTTTGTATACATGGTCTAATTTGTTTTTGGTTACAATAAGAAATCGGAGATAAGTATTCAACTTGCCATTGCCTCACTAGCAGCCAGTTGCTTCTGGAATTTGTATTTTCTTAATGCCATGTGTATAGTATATGATTTGGTCTTCAATTTTTCTTTGCAGGGAAATGATCCAGCACAGGCCCTATGATCATAAAGTTGATGTCTATAGCTTTGGCATTGTCTTGTGGGAGCTAATAACCGGCATGCTTCCCTTCACCAACATGACGGCTGTTCAGGCAGCTTTTGCTGTTGTAAATAAGGGTGCTCGTCCGGTAATCCCTCAAGATTGCCTGCCTTCTCTAAGCCACATTATGACTCGTTGCTGGGATGCGAACCCAGAAGTTCGCCCACCATTTACTGAGATTGTCTGCATGCTTGAGAGTGCTGAGTTGGAGCTTGTGAGCAACGTGCGCAAAGCACGCTTCCGCTGCTGTATTTCTGAACCCATGACCACTGACTGAAGTGGGAGTTGGTGGCTAGATGACCACAAAGTGGGTAAGAGAATGGAGTGGGAAAAGGATAAAGAGCCTATCTCATGTATTCGCGTCAGTGCCAGGGTCTCTTCTGAAGACCCAAGGATTTGAGCTTCTGTGTTGTTGCATTCTATCTTGTGTAAGTTGCACAGCTGGAGTAATCTCTTCTGAAAGTATAGGTGATGTTTCCTTGCATGTTAACAAAATCTAACTCTAATGGAGCTTTCCTATGTTAATAACATCTGCCTGTTCTTGTAATCAGCATGTTTGGTTGCACCATTGCTGTTCCTTGCCCTTTGTTGTTGACCTACGTTCCAAGACTACTGCTGTTTCTGCAGTTCAGAATGATATATATAACTTTGGTTTTCGGTATGCGCTTCAGAATGATATGACTAAAGTTTTTGGTATATGTCTTTCTCTTGTCTATGTGGCACCATCTGTTGACTCGTGCAAGTTTGCTTGCACCATCGCAGTTCCTTGTACTTGGTTGTTGACCTACGTTCCAAAACCACTGCGGTTTCTGCACTCCAGAATGATACGGGACTTCAGAATGATGACATGGTTTTAGTTTTTGGCATCTGGCGACAGAAAATCGTCGGCAGTCCTCCGAGGGGTATCCTAGAAGTTAGATTGATCGGCAGAGAGACGTGTAATCAAGAACAAGAAGGCAACAGAGACACACGAGTTAGACAGGTTTAGGCCGTCAGTATGACGTAATACCCTACTCCTGTGATCTGTTGGATTGTATTGGTTATTGTATGATATGACGTGAGTTTGGAGGGGGTCTCTGCCCGTCTTATATAGTCCAGGGGGCAGGGTTACAAGTCGGTTAGATCTGAGAGATAACCAGAAAATAATAACATATTACAGGAATCATGTGATCATACATATCCTAACAGATCTCGTAGTATCTTCAGGATATCTTTCCGGTGTCTTACGGGAGACGCCGAGTAGAGTCGTGTCCCGCAAGGCTTCGTCTTGTGGGCTGGGCCACCCCTGGGGGCGCAGCCCATATGGTCCGCCGTGAGTATCCGGGGTCGTACCCCCCACAGCTAGTCCCCGAGCGCCTTGTACCCGTTGTGCAACGCCGTCTTGAACTTGTCCGAGCAGATGCGAACAAAGCCGAGTAGTCAAACTCATAGTCTGACCACCATGATGAGTTACCGAGCAGTTGTGAATGGTTGCCGAGCAGCGTAAACAGTCGCCGAGCAGCGCGATTTGTCGCCGAGCAGTGTGATCTGTCACCGAGCAGCGTGAGCCGTCGCCGAGCAGTGTAACCCAAGTACGGCTTGCCATAAGGGTGTAAGGAGCTCAAATTCAGAATCGAAAATTTCTTCGCAGTGGACCAAGTATGCCCACTTAGAGTCCGACCACGAGAAAGGAAGATAGTCTTCTTCAGCTTCAAGAGGCGCAGAGTCTTCTAGAATGAAGCAAATATACTCATCGCAAGGTGAAGTGCCTTAGTCCTCGAGCTTGACAGTGGATGACGTAGTCATATGGTGCCAGGGTCCAAAGTAGAAGCAAAGTAGAAAACCAGCCCAGCAGGCAGCCAGTCTTTGGGCGTAGCCTCGAGATGAGAAAAGCACATTCACCGCAAGGTGAAGTGTGACCACTTAGTCCCCCAGTCCGACAGTAAGTGACGTAGTCACGTGGTGCCAAGGTTAGGAACAGCAGTCGTGAGAAGAAAGTTTGAAAGCTTGCCGACATCATCTGACATGCGCGTATCACGACCCCAGACGTGCTGTCCAAGATCAGCACCCTAATCCGAACAACATGGAGCAGCTTGATAGCACACCGATGAGACGTAGCAAGATCCGACCACCAAAGGAGTCCTCAGCGTAGCTGGCGATGTCCGAGCACCGAGGAGTCCCCGGCGTAGCTGGCGATGTTCGAGCACCGAGGAAGCCCCGGCGTAGCTAGCGATGTCCGAGCACCGAGGAGTCCCCGACGTAGCTGGCGATGTCCGAACACCGAGGAGTTCCCGGCGTAGCTGGCGATGTCCGAGCACCGAGGAGTCCCCCGCGTAGCTGGCGATGTCCGAGCACCAAGGAGCTCTCGGCGTAGCTGGCGATGTCCGAGCACCGAGGAGTCCCCGGCGTAGCTGGCGATGTCCGCAAGGTGAAGTGGGGTGAAGTGTGCCCACTTAGTCCCCGAGCACGAAGAATCCGAGCGCTGAGGAGTAACCGACGTAGCTGGCGATGTCCGAACACCGAGGAGTCTCCGGCGTATCTGACGATGTCCGAGCACCGAAGAGCCCCAGGCATAGCTGGCGATGAAGCACGAGCGACGAACAGTCTGGTCAACTGGTCGACGACGAAGTGAGCGTTGAGTAGAAGCGACCGACGAACAGTCCGTTCAACTGGTCGGCGACGAAATCCATGAACCTAGCGGTCCAACCAGTTGATCGGTGGAGAAGTCCGAGCACCAGGTGGTCCGATCACCTAGACGATGATCCTGTAATACAAATATGTAGAACGGGTAGTACATGATGTAAAAATATATGAACTCCGGAGAAAAATCAGCAGTGGTGATGAAATAGCGTATGCAGCTCGACGATCAGTTGGTGTGAACACTTAGTGTTATTCTGAAGATGTATTTATATTTAATATAAACCACCCGACCAGTTAGTGTGTAGTTGAGTCTCCAGCCCTAGCTAGCCCGTTAACCATAACGCGGAGCGCGGAGCCCGTGTGCGTGTAGAAAGAACAAAGCGACACTAAGGAGCCACTGCCGAGGGCAGACGCTCATGCATGTGTAGGTAGGAGCCGGAGACAAGGCCGTCCCTGGGGACATCCGAGCGTCAACTTGACTGTTCGGGGGTTCAGAAAATCGTTTGGAGAGCAATCATGGAGAAAACAGCTCGGAGAAACATTATGGTGATATACGAAGATTGGAGAATATTTAGAAGAATATTAAAGTGTGACTTAGCTTTAGACAATGTTTGGTCGACGGCATATGGCGTTATCTGGTTGGCAACGCGGGCAGCTCGCTTAGCAGCTCGCTTAACGGCTGGAACGAAGTTGATCTCGTGTTGGAGTAGGACGGACGTAGTCGGAGCTTGGCGGTGTCAATCCGCGTACGAAGACGTGCGCCGTGGTTGTCGAAGGATGTCGACGCGATCCGCCGAGTTGCCGCGAAGGATGTCGATCTTGACTTACGCCATCTGGTTCGCCAGGAATCAGCGCGCACGAGCCCCATGGTGGGCGCCAATTATCGACGAAATCTGGTCGGCGAGAGGCTGGACATCTCCAACCTGGTCAGCGAATTTGCCCCGTAGGGTATCTTGGTAAGTGGCGACGACGTTGGTGAGCCCAAAGGATAGGGCTGTAACCCCTGGAGTTTCCTGAGCAGCCTCCGATAGATCTGGATCGGAGGGTGGTCAGTGCTGAATGAGAGTGTCCCGAGCTGATTCGGCAATGGAGAGGCAGTCGGCGAGCTTCTGACCAACCTGATCGATGGATGCGATCAGATCGTCGTTGTTGATCTGTCTCCTCTGGTAGCGAGGAAGCGGACGGTGAGTTGTCGATGAAGACGACCTCGGAGGCGGTTCCGAGATTGGATCTACAGTCGCAGGTATGGATGAAAACGGTACGGATATTTATTCGACCGTCCGTTCGACCGAACAAATATGAACACTTATCTGGATAGTTACTCGGATATCCGTAATTTTTTTCGGATACGGATAATAAAACGGATATCTTAGGCGGATATCAAATACGGATGTAATATCATCGATATCCGGCGGATATCGGATAATCCGGTTAAGTATCGGATATATCCGGATATTTTCAAACGGATATTATCCGGATATTATTCAAACGACCTTGGATGGAGAAATGATCAAAACAAAAATTGTATATCTCAAAAAGTTATGAAACTTTGTTGTTTACAACTTTTTCGTTTGAAATCATTTAGTGCTTCAAAATTTAAACCGTCCAAACTTTCTCAAATGGAAAACTAGTTTATAGGCGTTAAAATTTAAAAATCACAAATTTGAACCATCCAAACTATATCAAATGGAAAATTGACCAAAACAACAATTGTAGATCTTGATGAGTTGAACAAACTTGGTATTCAAAACTTTTCAATTTGAAGTCATTTAGAGTTCATAATACTAGAGTCAAAGTGTTGTTTTTTCATTTGGCCAAATTTGACTTGGTCAAACTTGCTCAAATGAGACACTAAATGACCTCAGATGAAAAAACTCTGAATACCAAGTTTGATCATCTCAGGAAGATCTACAATTGTTATATAGCTTATTTTCCCATTTGAGAAAGTTTTATCAAACACTAGTCACAAATTCTTGAATCTCATATAGACTTTTTGAAACTATGTCACACACTTGTGAAATTTAAACTATATTTTGTTCAAACTTTCTCAAATGAAAAAATAGCCTATATAAGGATTGTAGATCTTGATGAGCTGAACAAACTTGGTATTCAAAACTTTTCAATTTGAGACAATCTAGGGTTCCGAAAACTAGTTTGTAAGCATTGAAATTTAAAAATCACAAATTTGAACCATCCAAACCATCTCAAATGGAAAGTTGACCAAAACAAGAATTGTAGATCTTGATGAGTTGAACAAACTTGGTATTCAAAACTTTTCAATTTGAAGTCATTTAGAGTTCATAATACTATAGTCAAAGTGTTGTTTTTTCATTTGACCAAATTTGACTTGGTCAAACTTGCTCAAATGAGACACCAAATGACCTCAGATGAAAAAACTCTGAATACCAAGTTTGATCATCTCAGCAAGATCTACAATTGTTACATAGCTCATTTTCCCATTTGAGAAAGTTTTATCAAACACTAGTCACAAATTCTTGAATCTCATATAGACTTTCTAAAATTATGTCACACACTTGTGAAATTTAAACTACATTTTGTTCAAACTTTCTCAAATGAAAAATGGCCTATATAAGGATTGTAGATCTTGAATCCATGACCATGACTCCATGAGACCCATGAAGCCATGAGCTTGGCTATTTCTACTCATGCCGCGAAGATTGGTGCTTGTATGATGTTTGATGTATGATGTATCTGTATCTTTATCTTATTTGTTGCTTTACTCTTTAGTCTTTCGGCTTAATCTAGATGGATTATGGACTCATAGAGTGGTGTAATGGTTTGCGCACGTATGATATATATATGCTGCTTTTACTCAATATCCGAATAGATATTTGTATCCGACCTTCTCCGAATCCGATTCATACCGTATTCGATATTCATTATTCGTATTCGTATATGTATCCGAACGCTATCCGTGTCCGAATCCGAATCCGAACAGAAATATGAAAACAAATATAATATGAGTGATATCCGTTCGTATCCGATCCGTTTTCATCCCTAGTCGCAGGTGTTGGGGTGATCGGCGCAGAATCGATCTGCACCTGCTCGATGAGCTCTCCGACTCCGTCAGCGTTGATGATCCACGAGATTGATCCGACCGTGAAGATCTAGCCGGGCTGCGGGAGGGACGAAGAGCCTGCGGAACATACCATTTTGTTCGATATAGAAACAACATTCACACCCCTACCTGACGCGCCAACTGTCGACAGAATATCGTCGGCAGTCCTCCGAGGGGTATCCCATGAAGATAGATTGATCGGCAGAGAGACGTGTAATCAAGAACAAGAAGGCAACAGAGTCACGAGTTAGACAGGTTCAGGCCGTCAGTATGACGTAATACCCTACTCCTGTGGTCTGTTGGATTGTATTGACTATCGTATGATGGCCCCGTTCGCTGGTCTGAAATTTGGCTGAAACTAGCTGAAAAACACTGTTCCGAGCTGAATTGTTGTGAGAGAAAAATACTGTTCCGGTTGAAAAAAGAAGCCGAACAAGCCATTTTAAGACAAGCGAACGGGGCCGATATGGCGTGAGTTTGGAGGAGTCCCCTGCCTTTATATAGTCCGGGGGGTAGAGTTACAAGTCGGTTAGATCTAAGAGATAACTGAAAAGTAATAACAGATTACAGAAATCATGGGATCATACGTATCCTAACAGATCTCGTAGTATCTTTAGGATATCTTTCCGGTGTCTTGCGGGAGACGCCGAGCAGAGTCGTGTCCCACAAGACTTCGTTTTATGGGCTGGGCCACCCTTGAGGGCGTAGCCCATATAATCCGTCGTGGGTATCCGGGGTCGTACCCGTAACGTATCTGTCTCTCTCGTGTATGTGGCACCATCTGTTGCCGAAGTCGCACATGGACTTTTCATGCGACCATGCTTGTGTGGAGTGTGTGCCGACCATGGACATTTTATTTTCTGGAATTTGGCTGGTAGTTCCTACACGGGAAGCTGTATGATGGTTTGTCTGGTTGGTTGCACTGAAGACGGGATTTCCGTCCGCCACATACGCATGTGGGTCGGGGAGGCTTGTATGGAAACAATCGTGATGGTGACCAAATTGTATGATTCCCCACCCCTAGAATCAAAACACTTGTTTGATTTGGAGACAAGATTGATTTCTTTACTTGGAATTATACCATAAATTCTTCTCCTATTGTATCAATAAAAACACAAAAACAGCAGCAGGAGCTGAATTTTTTCTAATATTTTAATGATGTCAGTATCGTAACAACAGTTTTTTTTTTAATATTCTAGGAAAAACAATGAAGCAACAACAATATACAGAGACACGCACAAAAAAAAAGTCCAGATTCATCAAGGACAATTTCAAAGATACCCAACCGTTGACATCATCGTCATCAGGGCAGCAGAAGTGTAAAACTACAATAGTATCACACTTAGAAAGCTCCAGAGTAGACACATCACAGGTGGCAAAAAAACAGCATAAAAAATGGGTCAATCACAGGTTGGAACTGCATATTAAACATAAGTTGGCCTACACTCGGTTCAACTTAATCAAGGGATGGCCAATAAATATGCAGATAACATTAACAGAGAGATCCTTATGTCCGGTGGTTGACTGAAGAACTTCCTGCACAAGCCCCAGGCCATCTTCATGGCTATTTATCCAAATGATCAAGTGGCGTGTTTCTTTCACGCTTAATTTATCTGGTTTACACCGAAGAAACTGGGCTCATAGACATTGTTGCTGGTATCCATGTTAAAACGAACCAGCTGAGACTGAGGCTGAGTAGTATGCTGTCCATCAGCGCATGAAGCTGGACCAGAGTTCCCTCCATGTGATAAATGAAGGTCACTACTGTTCTCGCTGGCACCAGTAAATTGGATAACGCAAGATGTTTGATGTACAGGATCAGGCAATCCACAAGCGCCAACTGACAGAAGAGAGAGAGCACGCTGAAGATCCGGTGCTCCATCGAATTTTGAAGCAGTTATAGACATGTCCGGACCTGCACAACCAATCATTCAGACTATATTATACACCCATCGGGGCAACACAGAACATCAAAATGCAGAAAGTTGCAGGAACGGCATGGCAAATGAAATCACATGGTTCAACATACTAGCATGAAAAACAAGCAGAGTTGGACAACAGTCAATTACAATTTCTAACTCTGATGCTCAGAGTTATTACACTGGTCACCTAGCACAGGAAAATGTAAGTGCAGAGTCAAATGGACCTGCAGTTTATTAGTAATATCTTGCAAGCGAAATGAAGTTTATATGTCATCCATAAACGGAACAAGGAGTAAGTATCTCAACAGTGATATAGAACTTCAGAAACCTAGAATACGTGAAACTAAACAAACAAAATAATGCTACCAAATATGATATTGATAGAAAAACATCTACTTTTTCTTGGCACTCAAAATTCATCATCGCTAATAACCAACTCCCAATACCATTTTGGAGAAAATGATATCAGTCCCTGTGGCATTCTATTTCCCTTAAATCTAACATAATCAAGTGTTTGGATCCTAGACTAACACGTGAATACAACTGACAGTCCAATTCTTGTAGTATTCTTCTTTTTCTGGGAGTAAATTTACAGACTGAAGAATCATGCCACCTACAACAAAACATCCGCTAGCCCAGTATGGATTGAATTATGGCAAGGAGTTCGGCGTTCTTTGTTCCACCATACATTCTATGTAGGCTAAATCATATGAACAACTACAAATATATTTTGACTTGTAAGTTCACAAGCTTCTGCAATGAAAATTCAAAGTACTCGTGTAATAATAATCAGCTTCCCATCTCTGCAAAACTTAGTAGCGATGAGGGAATGACTAAAAGGTTCCTTTTATGTGTCAACTATCCAAGATGTTTTAGGTAAGGTCCGACTAAACCAGAGATTCTTTACAACCCTTTGTCAACAAATATGGTGAACCAGTTAACAAAGCAAATAACAGCTTCTTCCTTGAACACATTTCTGCAGCAGGTAAGAATAATGTTTGGAAAATCAAACCTTTCATTGGCCAAGGCTCATCTTTGCCATGGCTAAGTGTTGGAATAGCACTGGACATGCGAGATTTATCCAAATGAACTTGTCCAGTAATTGTCCCAACTTTTGTTGATACCTCTCTTGTTTCCTTTGCATGAGGGAGCTTTAAGTCAGATGAGCTGTCCCATGGAGAAGTGAAAGGTCTTACATGGCTAACAGGAGCTTTATTCCAGACAAAACTTATTTGCCTCCTATCATCTGCAGTGGCAGAGGAGTTCAGGGATAAGAACATTTAACTTTACAAATAGGACGTAAGAAGGTAGAATAATATAACTGAAACACGATAATCCTAGCTGTATAGTACAAGATATATAGATTACTAATCATGGTACTCTCAAGTCCAATGCCTAGTTTGTATTTAATACCATGAAGAAACACAACAGACAACTTATTACAAACTATAAAAGATAGAAAGCTTGCCTTTTGCGCAACGAGACATCTATTTGGAAGTTGTACATGCAGATAAATTTAAGCATGCTAAGAGCCCATCACAACCATTTTGCCAGTGTCCACTGATAGCAAATTTCAAACACTAGTTAAGATATAAACACATTACCAAACAATGACGAAGGCAGCCTTGCAGAGGCAAAGGTGAATGCATCTGGCTGAGGCTTCCGGCGGCGGGCATTGTGATCAGACAGGCGCCTCCTGCAGCTCCTCTTCTTCTGATCAAACTCTGACAGGGCATGGAACCTGGATTACCAGAACCCAAGCAATCAGCAAAAACAAAATAGGTCCTAAGTATGGTCAATTGCCATGTAAAAGTGCATACAACAGATATATGCCTGCAATCTTTATACAGTAATAATGGAATAAAAATAGACACAGGCCTGTAGCCCACAAAAAAAAGCTCATCCCAAAAGCATACACATATATCGAGAGCCATACCAAAACTGGAAAAGGGAAACAGGCAGTGCACAGCCATTTCACCCATGCGTACGATTCTCCACAAGTACAGCAGTACTAAGCCCCTTGTTTAGTTCCCACCCAATAAAATTTACGCCAAGTTACATCGAATGTTCGACACATGCGACAGCCTACGTAACATCGATGTGATACCTCAAACTTTACAGGCTGGATCTAAAGGAAGCATCTTTCACTCCCAGATCAGGAAAAAATGCAGTTCCGTACCAAAAAAACCGCACAGCAGCCTCGAACACCGTACACACACAGCATATAGCCACAAAACTAAAAGAGAACACGTAAAAACACCTGCTTGTCCAAACCAATAAACTAATCACGCGATTATTGCAGCCCAAAAGCGCGACCCATGGTTGCAAAAAGCAATCATAGGAAGGAAGACGGAAGCAATCGCAGAAAGCAAGCGAGAGCAGAGGTCTGGGGGGCAACCGAAAGAAAGCGAGAAGACGACCCACCGGCTGCACTGCTGGCAGAAGCGGCGCTCCTGGCCGGCGACGATGACGCGGGGGGACTTGGTGTGGGCCTCGCAGACGCGGTGCTTCCGGTGATAGTCCTTGACCCTGGTGAGGTCCAATCCGCACCCCTCGACCTGGCACCTCACCTCAGCTCCCCCGCCGCCGTCCTCGCCCCTGGCACGCTTCGCCTCCCGCTCCTTCCCGCCGCGCCGCGCCGGCGCGTCGCCGGAGGAGGAGCCCGAGCCCGTGGCGGCGTGGTCTCCCCAGTCCCAGAGCAGGGGAGGCGAGGAGGGCGAGGAGGCGGGCTTCGGGGCCGTCCACTCCATGCGGCCGGGGCGACGATTTGGGCTGGTCAATTCTGGATTTGGGGATCGAAGAGAGGAGAGAGAGGAAGGGAGAGGAGGTGAACAGTGTGGACTGTGGAGAAGAAGAGATGGGGGAAAGAGAATTTGGAATAGAAAAAAGGCAGGTCTTTTTTATATTTGGACCTCCTTTTTTTTTATTTTCCCCTCACTTTTTTGCGTACTAACGTCTTTTCTTTACACTTTTTTTTTTGTGAAGATCTTTTTATCCAGACAATTCTCATTTTGCGTTTGCGTTCCTACAAAAGATGGGGTACGTATATGCAAACATGGTGTTCACATTCAGCCTTCAAGCGGGCTGTGAACCGGGGCAAAAGAGAACAAGTGCAGGCTTTTCACTTGACCGTCTTCACTCTTCACAGTATCATGCATACTCTCATAGGCCTTGATTAGATTACCTCAAAATTTTAAGTTTTTTCACTCTCTTTTCATCACATCAATTTTTAGACGTATGCATGGAGCATTAAATGTAGGTAAAAAATAACTAATTACACAGTTTGATTGTAAATCACGAGACGACAAAGTTTGTTAAATAGAAATGAAACGTGCTACAGTATCTAGATTGCAAAAATTTACAATCTAAACAAGGCCTTACTTGAAAAGTCGTTTTGGCTACTGGGATGGTTTTCACACGTGAAGTCGTTTAGCATCTCTCCACACCGTTTCAGAGGGTGTTTGATACAGTGACTAAAATTTAAGATGGGTTAAATGAGGGTGCTGTATGGGGTGTTCGGATACTAATAAAAAACAAATTACATCATGAGATAAATTTTTAAGCCTAATTAATCTGTCATTAGCACATGTTTACTGTAGCACCACATTATCAAATCATGGACTAATTAGGCTTAAAAGATTCGTCTCGTAAATTAGTCACAAACTGTACAATTAATTTCGTAATTAGTCTATATTTAATACTCCATGCATGAATATCCCCATCTTTCGTAAGAGCCTGTTTGCTAACTAAACATCCGATAGGACGGTGATTAAAATTTAGAAGGAGTAACTAAACATCCCATCCTTCGTCTCCCGTGCCCCGAGCCCCGCTAGTAAGAGCCTGTTTGGTCGGGCTCTTGCCGGCTCCGGCTCCCACACTGTAGTGCCACTGCAGTGCGCAGGAGCTGGAGCCGGAGAGGAAAAAATGAGTTTCTCCGGCTCCGGTTACAGTACTCGATGAGCAGAACACAGAGAAAAACGGATTTGGTGAACAGTATTCGTCAGAGGGAGCCGGAGCACCTGAATCCATACCAAACTGCTCTAAGTCCCCATGTGGGCATTAAATCGATCGCGTCTCCTCGATCACGTCGCGCATCCAAGGAGAGAGACTGCGCTTGCTTGCTATCGGAGGACGAAGAAGAGATGAGATCGCGCCGGACTCCGTCGCGCCGGAGTTCGTCGTCACGCCGGAGTTCGTCGTCACGCCGGAGTCCGTCGCGTCGTGTAGACCGGCCGATGCAGGAAGCGAAGATGCAAAGATGGAGCGACCAGGAGCGGTACCCGCCATGGCCGGACCAGGAGCTCGCCATGGCCGCCGCGCTCCCTGCCGTCCGAGCCACCTTCCCAGCTGCGGAGCTGCCGGTCCGTCTCTGCCCGCAGCCGCGCCCATAGGCGAGCGAGCGCGTTCCCAGGTGTGCCTGGAGAGCCTCGACGACCGTCGCGCCCCGGCCCCGCGCCGTCGCCCGTAGGCTGACGTCGTGCCGGCCGGCCGGTACAGCTAGCGAAAAACATGCACAAAAATCGCGCGCGATCCGCGCTAAAGCCGCAAAGGCAACCCAGTGCCAGGCATGCAGCTATCCGCGCCAAGGGCTAAAAAATAAAAAATCGCACACAGTGCCATGCTGGCATGCAGCTATCAGGCTATCAGCGCCAGCGCCAGCGCAAGGAAAAAAATCGCAAAAATTCCTTCCAAGAGAGAGATCGAACCTGGACGCTAAACGTCATGCCTCTAGCTTCACCGCAATAACCAGATCAGCTATAAACGTTTGTTAAACATAGAGTACGTACCCACTATCATATTTAATAAGAGTAAATAGAAAAAAATACACCCTAATTAATCTCGTATTGGTATGCTAAATCATGTCAAAACGACTTGATATTTTTTAGTACTAAGGGAGTATCTTGCTGCAGCGATGACTTCAGGAATGGTTACTCATCAGCCAATAATGCTGATTGCTTTGTGCTAAGCTGCTAGTGGGCCACTTAATTAGCTTTTGATTAAATATGTTTAGTTGAGACGTGAGGGGCTTTGTATCTCTTCTGCTGCATATATGTAATAAAATAAACAGACAAGTGGGGAGGTCAGAGGTCGTTTTCTGGGCTCCTCTGACCCTGTTGGGCTGATATTAAAGCCAGTTGATAAGTCAGCTGAAGCTGTTTTACTGTGAGATAAAAATACTGTAAATTTTAGCTGTTTTACTGTGAGATAAAAATACTGTAAATTTTAGTTCATAAGTCGGGCCTTGTTTAGATCACCTCCAAATTCCAAGTTTTTTCACTCTCTCTCCATCACATCAATTTTTGGACGTATGCATGGAGCATTAAATATAGGTAAAAAAATAACTAATTACACAGTTTGATTGTAAATCACGAGACGACAAAGTTTGTTAAATAGAAATGAAACGTGCTACAGTATCTAGATTGCAAAAATTTACAATCTAAACAAGGCCTTACTTGAAAAGTCGTTTTGGCTACTGGGATGGTTTTCACACGTGAAGTCGTTTAGCATCTCTCCACACCGTTTCAGAGGGTGTTTGATACAGTGACTAAAATTTAAGATGGGTTAAATGAGGGTGCTGTATGGGGTGTTCGGATACTAATAAAAAACAAATTACATCATGAGATAAATTTTTAAGCCTAATTAATCTGTCATTAGCACATGTTTACTGTAGCACCACATTATCAAATCATGGACTAATTAGGCTTAAAAGATTCGTCTCGTAAATTAGTCACAAACTGTACAATTAATTTCGTAATTAGTCTATATTTAATACTCCATGCATGAATATCCCCATCTTTCGTAAGAGCCTGTTTGCTAACTAAACATCCGATAGGACGGTGATTAAAATTTAGAAGGAGTAACTAAACATCCCATCCTTCGTCTCCCGTGCCCCGAGCCCCGCTAGTAAGAGCCTGTTTGGTCGGGCTCTTGCCGGCTCCGGCTCCCACACTGTAGTGCCACTGCAGTGCGCAGGAGCTGGAGCCGGAGAGGAAAAAATGAGTTTCTCCGGCTCCGGTTACAGTACTCGATGAGCAGAACACAGAGAAAAACGGATTTGGTGAACAGTATTCGTCAGAGGGAGCCGGAGCACCTGAATCCATACCAAACTGCTCTAAGTCCCCATGTGGGCATTAAATCGATCGCGTCTCCTCGATCACGTCGCGCATCCAAGGAGAGAGACTGCGCTTGCTTGCTATCGGAGGACGAAGAAGAGATGAGATCGCGCCGGACTCCGTCGCGCCGGAGTTCGTCGTCACGCCGGAGTTCGTCGTCACGCCGGAGTCCGTCGCGTCGTGTAGACCGGCCGATGCAGGAAGCGAAGATGCAAAGATGGAGCGACCAGGAGCGGTACCCGCCATGGCCGGACCAGGAGCTCGCCATGGCCGCCGCGCTCCCTGCCGTCCGAGCCACCTTCCCAGCTGCGGAGCTGCCGGTCCGTCTCTGCCCGCAGCCGCGCCCATAGGCGAGCGAGCGCGTTCCCAGGTGTGCCTGGAGAGCCTCGACGACCGTCGCGCCCCGGCCCCGCGCCGTCGCCCGTAGGCTGACGTCGTGCCGGCCGGCCGGTACAGCTAGCGAAAAACATGCACAAAAATCGCGCGCGATCCGCGCTAAAGCCGCAAAGGCAACCCAGTGCCAGGCATGCAGCTATCCGCGCCAAGGGCTAAAAAATAAAAAATCGCACACAGTGCCATGCTGGCATGCAGCTATCAGGCTATCAGCGCCAGCGCCAGCGCAAGGAAAAAAATCGCAAAAATTCCTTCCAAGAGAGAGATCGAACCTGGACGCTAAACGTCATGCCTCTAGCTTCACCGCAATAACCAGATCAGCTATAAACGTTTGTTAAACATAGAGTACGTACCCACTATCATATTTAATAAGAGTAAATAGAAAAAAATACACCCTAATTAATCTCGTATTGGTATGCTAAATCATGTCAAAACGACTTGATATTTTTTAGTACTAAGGGAGTATCTTGCTGCAGCGATGACTTCAGGAATGGTTACTCATCAGCCAATAATGCTGATTGCTTTGTGCTAAGCTGCTAGTGGGCCACTTAATTAGCTTTTGATTAAATATGTTTAGTTGAGACGTGAGGGGCTTTGTATCTCTTCTGCTGCATATATGTAATAAAATAAACAGACAAGTGGGGAGGTCAGAGGTCGTTTTCTGGGCTCCTCTGACCCTGTTGGGCTGATATTAAAGCCAGTTGATAAGTCAGCTGAAGCTGTTTTACTGTGAGATAAAAATACTGTAAATTTTAGCTGTTTTACTGTGAGATAAAAATACTGTAAATTTTAGTTCATAAGTCGGGCCTTGTTTAGATCACCTCCAAATTCCAAGTTTTTTCACTCTCTCTCCATCACATCAATTTTTGGACGTATGCATGGAGCATTAAATATAGGTAAAAAAATAACTAATTACACAGTTTGGTTGTAAATCACGAGACGGATCTTTTGAGCCTAGTTAGTCTATAATCAAACAAAGTTTGTCAAATACAAACGAAACATGCTACAGAATTTAGGTTGCAAAAATTTATAATCTAAACCTCGATCGATAAGTTCAAGTCAACATACCCCTCATCGTCAGAACACACACTGCCCTCCTCCCTCCCTCCCTCTTGATTGATGGATGGACATGGAAGGAACCATCGATGGGTTGTGATCCCGTGATGCGATGGTGAGGTGGCCGTGTGACTCCGACGCCTCCATCCACCACAACCTATTGATCGAATTAATGAGCCACCTATTGC